ACCAGGAGGCCATTAGGCTGAGGTGGCTCCAGGGTCTTGGGTTCCCACTTAAGCAAACCAAATCCCAATTCCAAAGTAAACAACTAAACAAAACAAAATTTAAACTTTACTAATCAGAGGCCACCAACTAACCTTCCACTAGGGACTTCCCACTGGATTATACTCAAATAAGGCAAATGCCTAGCTGCAGCCAATCATGTAACTTTTACTTCTGTAACTTGAGTATCTCAGCCTTTAAAATGTATTAAATTCTTCTTTCCTCTCTTAATCGTAAGCCTTGAAACTTGCTTTAGAAACTTCTTTACACCATCCATGCTTAACTGACTTAATGCTTGCTTAGAAATCCCAGGGGTTCATCTTAAAATAACCTGACTGTGAGGCCCTCCTGCTTGGGGGCAATCACAAGACAGTGGATCCATAACCTGACTGCAACTTAGATAACACCAACCAGGCCTCCACAAAATAAGCCATCAAGACATACTCTGTGCCACACCCTCACGTTTCCCAAGCCAAGTTTCCCTTTTTAAATCCTTATACACAGCCTAAAATGGTGAAATGATTTCTTCGAGGCATGAGCTTAGCTGTTTCTCCATCTGCTGGCTTTTGGAATAAAATCAGCTTTTCTATTACATTTCATGCTTGTTTATTTCATTGTACAAGCAACAAGTGGCCACAAATTGATTACATTCTACATTCAGGCAATAAAAGCTCACTGGCTATGCTGCTGGGGGAGCTCTCTGAACTTGAGTGCTGCCTGATTCATGAATCATTCTTTGCTCAAATAAATTTTTCTAAATTTAATTTGTCTTAAGTTTTTCTATTAATAGATGTTAATAAGTCTCTCCCTTGTATGTGCCAGAAATCTTGTATTAGTCCTTCTAAATCTGTTCTCTACCTCTCACTGCCTTGCTCCCTGCTTTTGGAAGCTAACTGGTTTCAATTACATCAGTGGGCTTCTGGTGGGGGTTGGCCAGTGGAGGTCAGAGAAAGAAGAAGAAGAGATAAGGTTATTTATTTCCCTGGATCCTCCTTGCAAGGTCACCTCAGGTTGGTGTATCCTTTGCTTGAAGGTCAGGGATACTCCTCTGTATCCTCCCCTTATTTCAGGTTTCCCTTTTATTGCTTTCTTCATGGCCTAGGAGTTGTTTTATTCTCATATGAATACCTATACTCTGCCCACATCGTTATATTACATTGATGCATAAATCTGTAGCATTTGTTTTTGGCACAGCAACACTGTTGGGAGTTTATAAAATGTAATTTGGAGTGACAGTGTTGTGCTTGTGAATACACCTTGCGTTTTTCAGATGTGAAGAAAGTTAGCACTATTTGTGGGCTAAAGAAGATGGAATGCAAAGTTGAAAAAAATGAAAACTTCCAAGATATTCTTCCGTCTGAATCTAACAGAGGAGTAAAGGCAGGGGAGGCGGCTTAAAACATTTGTGCTGCATATGGGGAGGATGCCATCAGAGAAACCATGGCAAGAAGATGGTCTTGTCATTTCCAAGAGGGTCACTTTGACCCGAGTGATCCTCCATCTTCAGGAAGACCATCAGGCTTCGAAGAAGACCATTTAAGCACCTTAATCCATGCCGATACATCACAGTCAACCCGAGAATCGGCAAATGTGAACTGTGACCAGTCAGCCATTGTGAGCCACTTGCATGCCGTGGGCAAGCGACAAACACGACAAACTGATGCATCAACCCAATAGTTCCTTCGTTAAACCCTTCTGGGATGATCCTATTTGAGTATGTAATCGATTCTTTTTTGATAGAATGTCTTTAGCGGGCTAATGGCCTCCAAGGATACAAGTTCGAATCTGTGAAACTGTGAATGCTGCCATATACGACAAAAGGACTTTGTGGATATGGTCAGTCAGTCTTGAGATAGAAAGATCATCTTTAAGTGTTTGATGGGTGTAATCACAAGGGTCCTTATAAAAGCTAGGCAGAAGAATTTTAAGATGAAATGGCATGGTCATAAAAGCAGAAAGAGGTTTGAAGATGCTATGCTATTAGTTTTGGAGATGGAAGAAGGAGCTATGAGTCAGGGAAGGCAAAGAGTGTCGCTCTAGAAGCTGGAAAAGGCAAGAAAGGGCACGGCCCTGCTGATACCTTGGTTTGGGCACAATGAAACCATTTTGTAATTTTGGCCTCCAGCACTGTAAGAGAATCCATTTCTGTTGTCTTAAGCCACTAAATGTGTGGTAATTTCTTTCTTTCTTTTTAATTTTTTTGAGTTGGAGTCTCACAATGTCACTCAGGCTGGAGGGGCAGTGACACGCTCCCGGTCACCGCAGCCTTGACCTACTGGGCTCAGGCGATCCTTCCACCTCAGCCTTCCGAGTAACTGGAACTACAGGAACACGCCACCACGCCCAGCTGATTTTTTGATTTATTGTAGAGACAGGGTCTTGCCATGTTGCCCAGGCTGGTCTCAAATTTGTGGGCTCAGGCAATTTCCTTACCTCAGCCTCCCAAAGTACTGCAATTACAGGCATGAGCCACCACACCCGGCCTATGTGGTAATTTCTTAAAGCAGTCATAGGAAACTAACACAGTGCACAAAACCAAACTGTTGATTTTCCCTCAGATCAGTTCCTTCCTATCTTGTCCCCTTGGTAGTTTAACTTAGAGATTTGATTCCTCCATTTTCTGCACACTTCCCTTCCAATCTGTCACCAAGTCCTTACGACTCAATGTCCCCAAACATATCTTGAATATATCTACTTCTCTTCCAAACAGTTTCTGGTACATGGTAGAAACAAAATAACTATTTAAAGAGTGGGTATATAAATGAATCTTCACTGATACCATTTTAGCTAAGTTGCCATAGTCACTTAATCAATTAGCTTGTCTTGGTTCTTTTATCCTAGGTCCCCTACAATATGTTCTTCACATTGAAGGGAAATGAATCTTTTAAAAACTGTAAATTAAAGCAGATTACTTTCTAACTTAAAACCCTTCACTTTCTTCCTAATGCACTTTGAATGAACTTCAAATGCTTCATTATGCACTTCAAGGCTGATATGGTATGAATAAATGCTCGACTGATAACCCTCAATGCCAATAAATTGAGAGGCAGAAGGACTGGTAGAAAGAAGTTTACTTCTAAATTTGAATCCAGGGAGCAGAGCCAGATTCGAGGCCTTTCTAAAATGGTTCTGCTCACCCTTCAGGCATTACAGTCCATTTTTATAAGTCCAGAGTTTTGGCACCTATGCATTAGTCACATGACCAGTAGAACACTGTATAGCACTTAAGTTACAGCAGCATTTTTACCATAGTGACATTTTACGGTCCAGACTTCTTGGTGCCAGGTACCAGAGGTATCTCACAGCTTTTATCAGGAAAACCCGGCAGAAGCGTTCATCAAGCTTGCCATAGAGTAAAGGGAGTTTACAAGGCCTAAAACATCATGCATTATGCAAAAGTTATACAAATCATAAAACTTATGATTACATTGTTACAAAAGTTATACAAATCACAAGACGTAATTATGATTACATTGATACTATATCATTCAAAAACCTATGACTACTAAGAAAAGGGAGTAAATGGGGATTTACATCTTTTAACTGATTGGACGTAGTCTGCGGGGAAGTCAAGGATCCCCTGAAGCTACTTAATAGGAGTGCATAGGAGATAAAGGGACTCTCAGGAATGTGCTCAGGAATATATCTCTCAGTGTACTGGGCATAGTCTGCAGGGAAGTTAAGGATCCTTTGAAGTTTCTTATTGGAAGTGCGTAGGGATATTAGCTCTCAGGAATGTGTTCAGGAATGTATAGGAGCACTTGATCTCTTGCCATGCCCTTCACTAGGAGCTGTGGCAATACGGACAGACATTAGTGGGTCTCTATCAAGGTCATCTATGTTCTGGAACTTGCCTACCTCTTGGATATCTTCTTTTGACTGTCTTCTGCATCCTCATGGATGCTGTAGTTTTTTTCGGCTTTAGTTGTGGTATAAGCTGTTTCTTTTGCCAGGAAAGGTCTTTAGTTAGTTGGCTCTTTAAGATTTCATCTTAAAAATCACGCCCTCTGAAAGACTATCCTTTAGCATCCATCTCCACTTTGGTTACCCCTCTATCACACTCCCTGTCTGTTCCTTCTGCAGCATAAATTTCAGTAAACTCTGCGACAGAAAGAACCTAGCTCTTCCTGAAATTCTGAGGTTGAAGAAGGAGGGAAAGACCTAGCATAGTGGCTTGGCATATGATTGTTAAATGAATCAAGTACTATATTTGGCTATTTGTGACCTGGATTATTTTCTTCTTCAGTTTGTGAGCAACTTAGGGCAGGGCCCTCAATCATTCATGTTTGTCAGCCTCCATGGGATGTAGCCCAGAGCATGGTCTAACATTGCTCAAAGGTCCTTTTTTCTTTTTAAGTTGTCACTCCCTCGCCCAGGCTGGAGTGCAGTGGCATGCTCACGGCCACCGCAGCCTCAACTTGCTGGGCTCAGGCGATCCTTCCACTTCAGCCTCCCAAGTAGCTGGAACTACAGGCATACGCCATCACGCCCGGCTAATTTTTTCTTGATTTATTGTAGAGATGAGGTCTCGCCAAATTGCCCAGGCTGGTGTCAATTCCGTGGGCTCGGGCAATCCTCTCGCCTCCTCCTCAAAAAGTGCTGGGATTCCAGGCGTGAGTCACCGCGCCCGACTCAAATGTACTTTTTGAGAAAAATCAATCAGGTACAAGGATAAAGGTGGGGACGGAAAACCAAGAGAGGGTGTAGCTCAGCAGAGTGGATTTAAGGAAAAGTCAGGCTGGAAGGAAACGTGAGAAGCCAAGGGCAGAAGCTACTAAGGCTGCTCTCCCTCACAGTAACGTCAGAGTGTACTTCAAGCTGCTGAAGACACGCCTCTCGCGAGAGGAAAGATTGACCGCCCGCAAGTGTACGTCAGCTGGTGCCCCGCCTTCCCCGAGCCCCACCCACCCCCCTTTCCTCACTCCCACCTTGAACCAGCCGCTGCGTGCGTGACGTCATGGCGTCGTGCGTAGCCGCGGCTGCGGCGCAGGGGGCGGGCCCGCGGCGCGGCGCCGGAGGAGGAAGTGGTGTGGTTGTCGCTCCCTCCGCGCCCACCGCTGGCTCTCCCGGCGCGCAGAGGGGCCGCGGTCTCCGCGGCTGCGTCGCGCTGCCCTACTGTCCCCTCCATGTACCCCGGCGCCGCCGCTCCCCTTCCTCAGGCCGCCGCTCACCCCGGGGTCTATGGAAGTAATGGAAGGACCCCTCAACCTGGTGAGTGGCCCGCAGAAGATAGCGTCCGCCCTGGGTGCCTTTGCCTGAGGGGTCGGCTCCAGTTCTGGGGGTGCAGGCTCGCCTTTCAGGCCAGGAGGAGGGCTTGGCAGGGGTGGTCGTAGAGGCCGGGGCCCCAGCAGTTCCTGGCCCAGCAGTGGCTCCGGGCCAGCCGCCCCGGACTTCGCCCTCGGGGATCCCCGAGAAGCGCCTGCCGCCTCCGGGCGCCCCCTGCCGCAGGGCCCCGGGCAAGGAGATGCCACCAGCGGGGACGGCCACCCCCTTCCCGGCCGGGGGGGAATGCCTCCCAGCGCCACGTAGCCACCTCCCTGCAGCCTGGAAAGGCCCTGAAGCCGGCCAGGGCAGAAGTGGGGTGTCATACTGGTCTTATCTTGCAACACAGGGGCTTGAGTGCGAGCCGTCCCACTTTGGAGAAATGGAGTAATATTCCTCCCTCAACCCCATTTTTCTCTTCTCTCATTTCTCACATGCATTCAGATGCATAAACTGAGAATCTCCTTTCTTCCCAGCTTAGAGGCAGCTGGAAAAAAAAGAACCGTCCCTCTTTTTAGCTCAGTTCGTCACTTCAGATATCACAAGAGTACAATAGATGTTTGCTGTTCTCAGCAAAGGTGTTGGTAGCCGATTTCCTTATTATGGTTTTAGGCATTTTATGTGTTGCAATTTAAAAGGACAGAAAACAGAACAAACCCCCACCAAAAAGCACGAGTTATTTTCAAACCGGCCACCGCAAGTTTTAGTTTCCCAGAGGGTATCCCATTTGGGATACAGAAGTCAAATTACTTAAGATTGCATACAGGAAGAACTTTTAAGTCACCGGTTTGCAATTCATCTGCGATGCTGGGATTGGAAAAGATGACTGTAGGATTAGTTGCTCACACCGGAACTCTGAAGTCTAGTAAATCAGTTAGACCCTGGTGGTTTAGGACTGTAGATTCTGGAGCCAGACTGCTTGGATTTGATTAAGGCCTTGTTGCTTAATATCTCTGTGACCTTGGGCAAATTCTTTGCCCTCACTCTGTTTAAGGTTTGTTGTGAGGATTAAAGGTAAATAGGTGTAAAGTGCTGAGAACTGTATCCAGTACCTAGTACAGTGTGAGAATTAACTTATAATCAGACCATTAAGCCCTTAATTTAAAATCTACTTGTAGAATAAAGGTTGGTACTTGCTGAGTTTTAAAAGCCTAAGATTCTAGGGCCTGAAACTGTGGTTCCAAATCATTTGTGCTGATTAGCTGCTCTGAGGAACCCTCTTAGTTTTATTAAGTTGGGCCCTGCCCCCATTGGTAAGAGTTGTTTACACTTAAGAATTGGGCTGTATTTGTGAGTTTTTAAAAACCAGGGAAATATCTTGCACCTTTCTTACTAAGGTGACATGTAGTTTACAATGAGATAGAGTTGGTGTCTCAATACTGAAACTTCGTAGGTATATTATTAGAAGTAACCAGCCGTTTACAAAGTACTTCAAAGTTCAAGTGTCCTTGCAAAATGACCATTGGTTCAGTTCCAGTTAGCTTCACTTTATTTGGCTGCAGGCTGCAGGCTGCAACATAACCCCAGCCAACTGTCCCCCAAGTGTGTGGTGGCTTATGAGAAGACTAGAACTGGGTGACAATTGTAGATGGAGCTGCAGAATCACCAGTTTAGGAAAAACTAAATGGTGGTAATAGTATTTAAAGTCTCCCTTTTATAGAAGGTGAGTTTTGACAGGGAGTCCTGATAAGCAGGCTAGCATAATTCCATAATCCAGCCATAAAATGTATGTGGGTGAGTATCAGAAATTTGGCATCATTAATTCTTAAACCATTTGAAGTTTGAAAGATCTGATTTCCTTCCTAGCTTATTGAAAGATAACAGTGGAACCAAGGTTGACATTTACTTGAACGATTTTAACCCTGCCACTAAGTACCAGTGACAGGCCTGTGTCACTGAGAGTTTTAGGTGACTGGGTTTTTTTGTTTTGCTTTGTTTTTGAAATCTGTCATATTCTTCTATGACAGTGGTCACCTAACTTAGTATCATATTGACTTAACATGAGAGATAGTTCTCAGTGCTATGATCTAATGAATACCTATGAAAATTCCACTAGTATATATGTATAAGCTTTTTCTTAACAAAAAAAACTCAGTCATTAATGCAACTTGCTTTTTTCTAATGATATCATACAGTCCAAATTTGTTGTATGAAGACTTATTACAGTATACATGGATTTATTATCATGTGTCCTCAAAGCACCTTGGAATGTAGTGGGAACAATTTTCCAGTTTTTGTTTTTTTTTTTTTTTTGAGTTGGAGTCTCACTCTGTCACCCAGACTGGAGTGCA